TTCTCTCAGAAAATCCAAAAAGTTTTTGAAAGGTATTAAATGTAAGGTGTTAAGTGTTACGTCAATAGTTGGTTATGAGCTGGTATCAATAATTGTTAATGGGGGACTTTTCTAAAGGAAAAAAAATAGCAGCTGCAAGTCTGACCACAACCATTTTTCTTGTTTGATGTTGACCATAGGAAATACAGACAAAAGTCTGTTCTGTAGAATGTAGCTACAATGTGTGGCGTACCGATGACTGGGGACCTTGCTTTCCAAATGTTTCAAGGTCATGTGGTGAGGGAACCCACAGCAGACCCATCAGGTAAATCATCTAGTTTTATAATAAATGCACAGGCAACAGTACACAGGCGACAATGCACAGGCAAAAGTTCACATGTGACAGTGCACAGGCAACAGTACACATGCAACAATGCACAGGCAACAGTGCAGAGCCAAAAGAATGCAGTCAGTTACACAAAGCACAGGCATAAGAACACTGACCAAAGTTGACTAGATTGTTAAAAAATTAATTGATGTTAATGGATTTCTACTTTTGATTTGGGTAATATATTTTATAGTTATAGTTATGCAAATATATTTTATCATTAGTTGCTATTATTAGATTTATAAAAAACTCTTGTTATATCATTGAAGACCTGGTGCTGGACACCACCCAGTTGAACGCAATCTATTAAATAAATGCTTCATGTCACAGGTGCGTGTCCGTTGGCCCGGACGGCTCTGAGATTAATGTGGACCAGGGGTTCTGTTATCGCAATGAAGAACCCAGCGACATAAAGTCTTGTTCCTTGCCATGTCCAGGAGAGTGTGTCATGTCAGAATGGTCAGAATGGACGATGTGTCGACAGGTTTGAAAAAAGATAAAATTCTACTGACTTTTTCTGTTGTAAAATGTGGGTCCCTTTTTTCCCAAGCTTTAAAGAAATTCATCAAGGATAAATCTCCATGTGTGGCTCATGCAACAAGAACTTCACTGGAGGGTGTTCTTATGGTGCTAACAATTAAAAAAAAGCTGTGATAATGACAATAACATAACAAAGGTGCTACATGGGGTGGTGGGGGGTTTACTTCCAGTAAGAGTTAAAGGGCATGATTAAGTTCCTGTGCCTGTCTTTTGAATTTCTCCAGGTAAAAAATTGAAATTGGAAAGAAAACAATATATTTATCAATATTTTTATATATATAGGAGAAGTGAAGCGGGGGGGGGTGTGGACTTTTAGTGTGAGAAAACAAGAAGTCTATTTTAATTGTCCGGCTTTTGAAGGGAATTGAACTATAACCCTGTAGTATGGAGCGGCACCTATTGAAACCGCTGAGCCATGCAGATCTCTTGGAAAATTGTATGAATTTTAGGAATTAAAACTAAATGATTTGATTATTTAGCAAAAAATTTAGAAATAGTATCACTATTATTATTATTGAAAAGTCAACAACATCCAACAAATTTTGAACTGTCAATTTTGTATGACTAATTTTCAATATGAACTCCCTAAATAAACACTAATTCCTTGACTGGCACTGGCTGCCACAGAACAAAACTTAACAAATCCAAGGTCTAGGCGGGGAAGGGAATGGGGGGGTGGGGTGGGGATGGGGGAGATGTCCCTCAGAATTAATAGTCTAGGGGATGGAAGGGAATGGGCTTGTGGGGTGGGGATGGGGGAGATGTCCCTCAGAATTAATAGTCTAGGGGATGGAAGGGAATGGGCTTGTGGGG